GAAAGTCACAACACAATCAAAGGTGGGGAATGGAACGCGAAAACAGCAAACCCGGTAACGAGTGAGTAAGAAGTAATGGTGGGGATGCCCGAATGGAGTGATCAGACATAAAAGGAGCAAAGGACAAAAGGCAACAATAATCTAAATCTGAAACGAAAATGAGGTCTATTAGAGATTTTAAATTAAAATGTACTACGTCTGGTCCTAATTATAAGACCTCATACTAGGACTGGAGGTAGTACATTTTAATTTAAAATCCCTAATAGAATTTAAAATCTCTAATAGACCTCATCTACAAACAAGGTTTTATAATTAGAATCAGAGACAGTGCTACTTAACAGTTTTTTCTAAATATTACCTTTAGTTTTTAATATAAGACCCGGTTAACTAATTTGAACATATTAACAAAGTTAAAAATTACTTATTATAGTACACTTCTCTGGTTCTATTTATAGGACAGAGACAGAAAATATTTTTGTCCTATTTATGGGGTACTGAGAGAATTTTTTTGTATGGATGTACAATTTTACCTTTCATTTATTATTGTGTTGGCTTTGTTTACATAAGATATAATGTATATTAAATAAGGATAAAGTTGAAAAGTTGTTGAATTTTAAATGAGAGTAAATAAAATTTAAGGTTTTTCTTGGTTTGTGTGAAACGTATTGGAAGTGATTTATAAATAGAACCAAAAAAGTATGTTAAATGATCTCTCTAAAATACATATGTGTATCATTATATCATACATCAATTTATAAGTGAGGTGAATTAGTTTGGAGAAAAATGATAAATATAATATTTTAAATTAAATTATTAAACTTTCTTAATCTCCTCAAATTAATCAGATGACTCTTGTATTAAAGACATGAAGTAATAACTATCAAGTAGTCTTTGTTTAACAGTTTTTTCCCCTAAAGAAACCATCAAATAGGTGCTTAAGTTACTTTACAGTTCCTTATAAAAAAATCGTTGAGTATTTAACTTTTTATTATTCAACTAGCTTGCAGAAGGAAACTCAAAAGCATAATGAAGAATAGATTCAGGCTCCATCGTGTTTTCGTTTCATGTTGATGGCTATTTTACGGCTTAAGACCTTTCCAGTGGCCTATAATTTTTAATAACGTGATATTGCAAACTTCTTGATGCAATAGTAGTAGTAATAATAATAGTAACAATAATAATACTCTCTGCGTTATCTTTCTTTCTTTCTTTCTATTTTGCCTTTTTCGAGTGCATTATGAAATGTTCCATATGCATGGATGTTTATTAAGAAATTATTTGTGCCCGAATTTTTTTATTTATCCCCTCAAAAATATATAAAGTACTCCTTCTGGTTCACTCAGAAAAAAGAAAAAGAGAAAGAAGTACTCCTTCTAGTCTCCTTACATAAAGTGTCTTTTTAATAAATAAAAGGCTAAAGCCGATTCAAATTATAAGGTGCCTAGTCAAAATAGAAAATGATGTTCCATTTTTATCCTATAACTTTAATAGCTTTCTCGTAACCTGATATTATAGAGTATCCCTTTAATTAATAGAGCTGATAATTAAAATATTGAGATGATTTTAAACCAATAAAGCAATTAACATTTTTTCTCAATAATCTCCATGAAGAATGTCTAAAACACTTTATATAAAGCACCGGAGGAAGTAATTAGGAAGTTGAATGAAATGGACAGCAGCCGAATAAATAACTGAGGTACATTCTTGTAAACATAATGTTAAATATTTTTTTTTATAAGCACACATATGTATCCTCCTATTATAGAAGTAATATTATTTAGAACATTTTCAGACACATATGAGCACATCACCTAATGATAATTTAGACTTTGGTTTGTTATGTTATGAGAGACTAGTCTCTTTCGACAAACTCAACCTTTGTTAGTCCTTTTTTTTTTGGGTACAAACCTCATTGGTCATATCAAATATTTTTTTAGGAACATGTATTTCTTTTTGAAAACAATCATATTCAAGACATTATTGGGCAATAAATATATACGCCTCTTTCAACGGGAATTTGAACTTGTTTTTTTGGTACAAAAATTTTAGGCAGGGGTTCAGGCTCAACCTAAGCTAAGGGCAAGGCACTTGAATAGCTCCTCCTAGGTGGTACCAATGTTGGGCTGGGCGAATCTACATTATACCTTCAGGCATTAACCTAAGCACCTCCATTATAGGATGTATCCCCAAGCGCCGTGACAGGGAATTGAACCCCCTTCCTTTTGGGTTAGAGGGTGTAGTTCCTACCCCTAAACCCATGGATGATGGGTGGGGATTGAAACTTTAATTCATCACGTTGTAAGGACTAGTTCTTTCTGCTAAACTCAACTCCTATTAGTAGTCTTTGTTTTTTTTTGCTAAGCATGAGTATCCTTCTAGTGAAGGCAATTTTATTTGAGGTATTATTGGACATTAAATATGACACTTCTTCTATCAAGAATTAAAATCTTGATTTGTCGTATTATAAGATATTAATTTTTTTTTGTTAAACCCAACCCCATTAGTGGTGGTCACATTATATATCATTGTTTATAACGTTGCTTCTAGGCTTTTTATCAATAGTCGGCCCAAGTCCATCCAAACCCACTAATGCTGACACATTGCCGCCATCTTTTATTGGATTGATTTCAATACATTGCTTTTGGGCTTATGATTCTGTAGTGTTCACCCTTTAAGTTTGACCTTGCTAGGGGCTAGCAAGACATCAAACTGATGCCCGGGGCTCTCGAGCATTACCGCGCGATAAATTTTACTTCCTCATATTTTTAATATAAAAGTTATTTAACTAATCTAAGTAGATTAAAAAAATTAATTAAGTTAAGTATTTATAACAAATATGTATTGATTTTCTTAAAGTATCCTTTTTAATTATGATTATCCTTAGATGGAAACCCTTTAATATGTATAATTTATAAAGATACTTTAGAAAATGTCATATAAATTTAGGAGACAAAGTAGATTGAGGTTTTATACTTAAAACCAAATCTAAATTCAAATTAGCTTTTATATTAGAGATAGGAGGTAGTATTACAAACTAGCACCTAAGGTTAAGACATCTAATTCCCCCCTCCCCCCCTAATTTTTATCTATTTTTCTTCTTGTCTATCTAAGACTTAAAAATATATCCCAATAGATTTAATGTGGATCTATTCATTATTCAGGGAATTTTGTACCTTTTTTTTAAAATATCTTTTCATGTTTCGCATAAAGTTTACTAGTCAGTAAAAGGTAAAAGTCTCTTAAAAAATGCAAGTTAATTAGTTTTGTTTACTATTTAGTTCCTACTCTTCTGATCTCGTTCATTCATTCTTAAGTACTTGGATTCTTTTCAATTCATCCTCTGCGTCCTTGTGTAGCTCAGGACCTTTCCCAAGAGCGTGTGTATATATAATCACAAATTGCAGAAATTTGTATGTTGCACATTAAATATCAATCTATCAAAAAATCTTATATATCAGTACACAAATTACAACATATCAAATGAATCCCCAAGAAAAAATGATTAAAAAAATAAATAATGAACTATGCCTAATTGCCCTTTATTAGATACAAACATTAAATTAAACACCAATAGCAAAAGGCGCCCCAATGCGAGGCAACCAGGCGCGACGAGAAAGGAAACTAGCAACACTGAATCGGTTTGCCTCATTTCGACTACTTATGGCACGAAAGCCATGCCATTTTTCCCTACTTTTTGTTGATGAAACAGTCTTGAGCAAAATCATCATCGCCTCATGGAGACCATCCCTATGGATTCACGAATCCCTCAATGTAAGTCTTCATGACAACTGCTCTTGCATATTGCAGTGTGACCTACCCAAATATGTTTCAAATGAGTGTGAAACTCGCTTGAAATCCGATGCTGCTCGAAATTGGGAACTGATTATTGATATTCCGGTGTTCTGAAACGAGTCGCCTCGTCTTTGCACTGTGATTATGTTTGCTTGCCCTGCAAGCGGTTTTCTTACGAGAATCCTGCAGTTTTGAAAAACAACTGCTGCATTGCCCCAAATGAAATCTACTGTGCCAAAAATTCTACAGTCTCTATAGAATCGACATTGTGCATGAGCCACTAGAGCGCCTTGATAGCCTTCATCGATAGAAGACGAAGAGGTCGAAGGCTGATTGGAGTGAAACTACTTGACCTTTTTTAAAGATCCCTCATGTTTCTAGCACTACAAAAAAAAACATGTGATTAACAATAGAATTTAGAGATGGAACTTTTATTTAACAACAAAAATAGTGATGAAATTTGTTCCATTACAATTTCATTGCTAATTAGTGACGGAATGACGAAAAAATTTCATTCCTAATTAGCGACAAAAATTGTCTCTAACTTGGTGACGGAATTTTTTCATTGCTAATCCTATTTTTGTAAAAAAATATTTAAAACGCCACATGGCACCTTCATTAGCTGCTGCTACCTTATCATCGATGGCCACCGTCAGCCACCTCTAAGTATCACTGCCACATCAATTCTACCACCACATGTCACCACCTCATGTCCACGTGTCGTTACCACCTCACCATTGCCTACCACATGTTGCTATTTCACATGCCACCTAGTACCACTACTTGTCGCCATTATATAATTCCTCCTTAAAGTGACTTTTCTACAACTCAAACCTGGGATCTCATGCACACACACCCTTTTACCAGTTCAACTGCAATAAGCCCATTATTTTATGCAAAATAATATATATATGTGTATATATGTATATATAGATATAGATATATAATTTTTTTTTTACCCAAACTGTAATATCCTACTCTAAGAACTCAAATCGGAGCAAATTTAATAACTATGGTTGAGAGTTTACACTTCAAAAGTTGAAATTTTTAGAACTTATTATCTTTGATTCAAGACTCATGATTTCATTTTCCTAATTAAGACCCATATTTGTTCTCAATTTGTATGTTAAAAATATTTATTTATTTGCTATTCCGTTTCAGCTCTATTCAGTCATAAATTATACATCTCAAAACTTTAGATGTATACATTACATAGGAAATAACTAAATCATTCATATCATCACGCATATATAATATCAATATCTATACACATACACAAACTAAACCCACAGCTATGCAAGAACTAACCCTAGCTACTCCTCCTTATGGAGGTACGTACAATTATAGCCGTACAGTTTACATGCTTCAAAAATAGGGAAAAATATAAACACATAATATATTAATTTTTCACATTGACCAATTAGTTGTTTAAATCCTTCTTCTCTTCCACCTTAGCTTAGCGAAGCTCCCACCAGCTTCTTTTTTCCCTTGGATCAACTGGGCCCTACGGTTACATAGAAAAAAAGGGGTAAGATTCAAACAATCCTAGTAGAAGTAATCATATTCCATATATTAACATGTGGTAAAAACTGAGCATGCAAAACAAGTCACAGAGAACAACACATTTAACTGAATCTCATTTAACAATTGGCATAGCTGAATAACTGAGCAGCTGCATAACTGATTAACTGAACTGTATAACTGAGCAGCTGCTAACTGATTAACTGATGACTGATCATATGCATAATTGAATAACTGAACATATGCTTAACTGCATAATTTGAATAACTAAATAACTGTGCAGCTGCTATCTAATTAACTAAACAACTGTGCTAACTGATCAACTGTTAAATGCGCATATATTGGACAGCAAGATGTATACACATGGCCATGGCAATAACTGGTAAGGCAATTTATATGTTCTCATGCTTAACTATAACATTATGCACAAACAGACATGCAACCAAAACAAAACATACAAAATAATAATTAAAGCTACCTTTTGTCTGCTCTCTTGTGCAGGTACCGTGCTCCAGGTTTCTTCTTAATAAGCTAGGACACCAATTAAATCTTGACATTACAAGTACATATATAAGGTCAGTTAAAACTAGGGTTATGGTTAACCCATAACTAACTAAATCTCCCTATAACCCCCACTCAAGCACTCTCCTCTCTTAAAGTGGTTGGTCATCTTGGATAAAACTTTATCTTTATATTTCTAAAGGTCTCTAAAACTTTCCCTTTCTCATGTTTCCCTTAGCTACTCATTCTATTATGATTTGTTAACACTTTAAACATAGATTATCCATCTATGTCAATCACTTGCACCATTTAAAATTATTATCAACTAACATGCGTTCAGCCATTCAAACAATTTGTTAACCAATCAAAATAACAAACAGCCATTTCATAGCACATTTTAATGCCTCCAAAACTAAGCAATAAAAGTAACATCTTAACACACTTGAATTAATCACAAGGAAGCATTAAGCACATCTATTATATATATATTTTCACAAATGTGATCACTTCAGTATAATTCGTCTCTTCTAACAACTTAAAAATATGATGTAGATAGCTAGCAATTTAGTTAATCAAAAGAGTTATCAATCATTTTTCATAGTAATCATCTTCTCACGATTAAAACATATTAGATCATGTAGTCAATTTTCCAACTTCAACTTCATAAACATTATCTCAAACCATTATAACTATCCTTAATTAGTGCTTGATTCTCAAGGTCTTAGCAGAATTCTTCCTAGCTTAGTTTTCTATCATCATATACTAGCTATCATTTAACGTTGAGTAACTTGTTAGCATTCTAAAATTTTACTGCATCAATAACAGAACTTAGTCATCATTGTTATAATACTTTTTAACATGGTTTTCGTTTCTAATTTAATTATCTAAGATGAGGAAGCATTAAGTAGCTAACCTGTTATACTTTTCATCCTCAATAATCAATTTTCTAACATAAAACAGGAGCACATACATATATATCCTATATTCAGTACATTTTAACATTTCTATACAATATCCATAAAGAGAAGTCGAATGGCCTTCTCTATACAGCCAAAAACAGAACTGAAACCCATAATTTAAGAATCTTAAAACACTCTTGAACCATCCAAAGCAGTTTTCTAACATGTGGAAGCATCAAACAGTAGGCTTAAATTAGTTTCTAGCTTCATAATTCTAATTTTATGGCTTCCAACAACACACAAGGCTATAACTCTTATATAATCTATCTACTCCGACATTTAAGTAACATTTTTATTTAGCATTGCTTGTGTGCCTCTTACACTTAACTTTCTCTTCTAAAACTATGCTGTCCAAAACAGGGGAGAGGAAAAGTTTCATATATTTTGCTTCCATTGATACCCAAACAATTTATAGACATCTCCAAGATGTCTTGTGCGTGATTTAGCAATTTTGAACACTTGTTTCAAGTGGTAGAATTTTAAAACAGTGAGCATCTGATGGGCCCGGCCCCTTAATGGGCTAGGTATACGGGAGGAGACAGCCTAGGAACAAACCCAATCCTGCAAGCCGGGTGCCAAGTAAGGAAGGGGGACCACCAGGAGAAGGAGGGCAGACACGAGAAGGGGCCCACGAAGGATCAGGGTAGTGGGGAGACGGTTATCTAGGGTGCTGTGCGGAGGGAAAGGGTAGGAAGGATCTTAGGACTGGAGGAGAGACTTGACCTCTCGAAGGTTAGGGAGGGATTCTGATTGTGGTCTTCTTTATCTTTTGAACCAACGGGAACTAGGGTTAGTCGGCTACCATTTTCCATTTTTCCCTTTGATTTTCCCTAACAAAGGGGTGTAGTTGACTATTGAAACTATTCGGGCAATAAAATCACTAGTTCCATCATCTTTGGTATCAGAGCGGGTCGACCCTGTGAATGGTGAGTACCAAAAGGATGGAAGCAAGACTAGAAAATGTGGAAAAGACAGTGAACGAGCTGCAAGGAGTGGGACGGGTAGTAGGCGAGTTGCAGAGGTCCAATATGGAAGCGAGGGAGGAACGATCCTTAATGCAAAGGACCATTGTTCAGCTACAGGAGCAAAATGCAAACATTCTTCGTATACTGAACCAGAGATTACCCGAGACCCCTCATGAGGGTCGCCGAGAAGTAAGGGCACCAGAAGGAGAGGCGGAACACACGAGAGAGGATCGAGGGGGAGATGACCGTAACAGGGGTGAACGAATCCCAGAGATGGAAGCAGGGAGGACTCATATGAACAGAGAGACGGAGGTGTTGGGAGAGAAGGAAGTACAAAAGTACCGCCGTATAGAAATGCCACTATTCGATGGAGAGGATCCTATAGGCTGGACCTTTCGGATGGAGCGCTACTTCGTCGTCAATGGAGTTCCAGAGACTGAAAAACTCGATGCTGCCGTGGTGGGACTGGAGGGAAAAGCATTGAACTGGTTCCAATGGACGGAGATGCGAGCGCCGATAGCGAGTTGGAGGGAGTTCAAGCGGAGTGTGGTTAAACGTTTCCACCAGTCACACACTGGGAACAACCACGAGAGACTCGCCGGCCTGAAGCAAACAGGGACGGTGGCTGAATATAGGGAGACGTTTGAGATGATTTCGGCAACCCTTGATGACGTGTCCGAAGCTTCACTAATGGGCATGTTCATGAATGGGCTTAAAGAAGAGGTGAAGGCTGATGTGCGGGTGTTAAAGCCCAATCAACTAGAGGACCTAATGGACACAGCCACGGAGATTGAAGGCCGAAACTTGACGTTGGAGAAGGCCAAGCAGAAAAAGGAGTCCAAGCTGTACCGGAAGGAAAACCCGAGGACTTAGGCACCCCCACTTGCACTCCCACCCAAATTCTCGACTTTCTCAGAGAATCCCAAGAGCCCTGCTCCGTCATCAGGGACGCGAGTCACCAACAATCGTGGACTTGACACCTCTAAGGTTGCTAGTAACCAAGCTGCGACACCTAGCGCAGTACCCAGCACCGGAAGCAGCAACCACAGGGGGAATAGAAGACTCTCTAAGGCAGAGATAAACCGTCTAAGAGAGAAGGGACTGTGTTTTAAGTGTGAAGAAAAATGGGGTCCCACTCACAAGTGCAAATCCAAGCAGCTCCAAGTGATGGTTGTTGACGAGGAGGAAGGAGGAGAGATTCGAGAGTGCGATTTTGAGGAACTAGAAAAGGATGAGACTGAGAAGGAGTATTCCACCATGGAACTCTCCCAAGCGACAGTGTTGGGCATTTCGAGTTACAAGACATTGAAGATGAAGGGAACTGTCAACGGGAGGCCTGTAGTTGTCCTGATTGATAGTGGGGCTACCCACAATTTCATCGCCCGACACATGGTGACAGAACTGGGGTTGGAGGTGACACCCACTCCGACTTACTCTGTAGCTGTGGGGGATGGGAGACATGTATATGAGAATGGAAAATGCCAAAGGTTGAAGCTGGAGTTGCAGGGATTGAACGTTATGCAAACATTCTATCCGTTTCCCCTGGCTAATATTGATTTGGTGCTCGGTGTAGCTTGGCTCGAGTCCCTTGGAGAGGTGCGATTAAATTGGGGACAGCTCTACATGAAGGTTAAATCAGGGAGCGAGTGGGTATGTTTGCGAGGAGACCCCACGTTAACACACATGCAAGCGTCTTACAAGGCTTGCCGAAGGGCACTGAAAGGGAAGTTTGAAGGGTATTGGCTGGAAATCAACGTAATGGGCTTGCATCAGGAAAGGGAGCCTGGAGATGGGACCCGAACTCCAAAAATTCAACAGCTCCTGGATAAGTATAGTGAGGTGTGCCAAGCTGTTACCAAACTACCACCACACCGGACCCAGGATCACGCCATCATGCTTAAAGAGGGGGCGCAGGTACCAAATGTAAGACCCTATCGGTACCCATACACTCATAAGGCAGAGATTGAGAAGACGGTGAAGGAAATGATAGAAGCTGGCATCATTCGACCAAGCAGCAGCCCTTTCTCAAGCCCGGTATTACTAGTCAGGAAAAAAGACGGCAGCTGGAGATTCTGCGTGGACTATAGGGCCTTGAATCGAGTTACAATACCTAATAAATACCCTATCCCAGCAGTTGATGAGCTATTGGATGAATTGGGAGGTGCTACAATTTTCTCCAAGCTGGATCTCAAGGCAGGATACCATCAGATCCGAATCAGGACCGGGGACGAGCACAAAACCGCCTTCAGGACGCACATTGGGCACTATGAATTCCTGATTATGCCCTTTGGGCTCACAAATGCACCTTCTATCTATCAGTCTTTGATGAATGACATTTTTCGTGATTATTTGAGGAAATTCATTCTGGTGTTCTTTGATGACATACTCGTGTATAGCAGGGATATGGAATTACATACGGAGCACTTGGAGACTGCACCCAGAATTCTCCAGCAACACCAACTCGTTATTAATGTAAAAAAATGTAGCTTCGGCCAACAACAGCTAGAATACTTGGGGCACATCATCACGGCCGGGGGAGTGAAGGCTGACCCTGCTAAAATAGAAGCCATGGTTTCCTGGCCAACGCCTAAAGACATAAAGAGTTTGAGAGGGTTTCTCAGTCTCACTGGATATTACCGGAAATTCATAAAGGACTACGGAAAGATAGCAGCTCCCTTGACGGCCTTACTTAAGAAGAACGCTTTCAAATGGGGAGACCAAGCTCAAACAACTTTTCAGAAACTCAAATCTGCCATGACTAATGCACCAGTGTTGACCATGCCCGATTTTAAAATGCCATTTGAAATAGAAGCTGACGCGTGTGGAGTGGGAGTCGGTGCTGTGCTCATGCAACAAGGACGCCCTATTGCCTATTTTAGCCAACAACTGTCCAAAAAAGCTCAGCAAGGATCAGTCTATGAGAAGGAATTAATGGCCATTGTTCTCGCCATAAAAAAGTGGCAGCACTACTTGACAGTTCAACCCTTCATTATCAAGACTGACCAAAAGGCCCTGAGGTATTTACTAGAGCAGCGTGTAATGGACCCCGACCAGAAGAAGTGGATTTCTAAGCTGATGGGATACAGATTCGAGATCTAGTATAAACCGGGAAAAGAAAACCAGGCAGCTGATGCTTTATCTCAAAAAGAAGTACTGAACCTGTCCCTTAATTCATTTTCCCTATGGCAATACGTTGGAGTGGAAGACTTCGAATCTGAGGTGACTAAGGACCCAAAACTGAATGAGCTCAGGCAAAAGGTATTATTGGGAACCAACGTACCTACGGGATACTCTCTCAAGAATGGCTGCCTTATGTACAACGGTCGATTGGTGCTACCTAGGAGTTCTCCCAAGACTGATGGATTAATTAAGGAGTTTCATAACTCTCCGATCGGAGGGCACTCGGGGTACTTGAGGACTTATAAGAGAATGGCAGACGTGGTGTTCTGGGAAGGTATGAAGAAGGATATACAAGACTATGTGGCCAAATGTGAAACCTGCCAGCGAAATAAATATGCAGCCACAAGTCCAGCGGGCCTATTGCAGCCCTTACCAGTTTCGCAACAGGTTTGGGAAGATATAAGCATGGATTTTATCATAGGCATGCCTAGGGCTTGTCGATATGATACCATCATGGTGGTGGTGGATAGACTCACCAAATATGCTCACTTTATTCCTCTCTCACACCCTTTCACCGCCAAGGATGTAGCTGAGAGATTTGTTGCAGAAATAGTGAAACTGCATGGGTTCCCAAAATCAATAGTCTCTGACAGAGACCGAGTCTTCATAAGCCGGTTTTGGAAGGAATTATTCACTCAGTCAGGGACTACTCTCAAGTATAGCTCTGGCTACCACCCCCAAACCGACGGCCAAACTGAGGTGGTGAACCGGGGCCTTGAGACTTATTTAAGGTGCTTCGCTGGAGAAAGTCCTAAGAAGTGGGTTCAGATGCTACCATGGGCTGAATTTTGGTTCAATATGACCTATAACAGATCTTTGGGGGCCACACCTTTTAAGGCTTTATATGGAAGAGATCCCCCCTCCATTTTCAAGTGGAAGGATGATGATTCACTGGTGGAAGAAGTTAACACCCAGCTGCAGGAGAGAAACGAAGCCCTACAAAGACTCAAGTACCATCTTGAACAGACGCAGGCTAGAATGAAGGAACAAGCTGACAAGAAAAGAAGAGATGTTGAGTTCCAGGTTGGTGACAAAGTCTACCTGAGGATACAACCTTATAAGCTCAAGAAATTGGCCAAGAGGCAAAATGAGAAACTGGCACCGAGATTTTATGGGCCCTATGAAGTCTTACGGAGAGTCGGGAAGGTTGCGTATAAGCTGAAATTACCTGCGGATGCTCGGGTTCACCCTACCTTTCACGTTTCTCAACTAAAGAGGTCACTCTCATCTATGGTGACTGCACAAACCCTACCCAGTTTCTTGACCGAAGACTATGAGCTACAGGTTCAACCTGAGCAAGTCCTCAAGGCACGAGAAATGACAGATGGCAGTACCCAGGTCCTAATCAAGTGGCAATCACTACCAGAATGCGACAGCACATGGGAAGATAGCGCCCTCATTAATGCACAGTTTCCAGAATTCCACCTTGAGGACAAGGTGAGACTTTTAGGGGAAGGTAATGATGGGCCCGGACCCCTAATGGGCCAGGTATACGGGACGAGATAGCCCAGGAACAAACCCAATCCTGCAAGCCGGGTGCCAAGTAAGGAAGGGGGACCACCAGGAGAAGGAGGGCGGACACGAGAAGGGGCCCACGAAGGATCAGGGTAGTGGGGAGACGGTTATCTAGGGTGCTGTGCGGAGGGAAAGGGTAGGAAGGATCTTAGGACTGGAGGAGAGACCTAACCTCTCGAAGGTTAGGGAGGGATTCTGATTGTGGTCTTCTTTATCTTTTGCACCAACGGGAACTAGGGTTAGTCGGCTACCATTTTCCATTTTTCCCTTTGATTTTCCCTAACAAAGGGGTGTAGTTGACTATTGAAACTATTCGGGCAATAAAATCACTAGTTCCATCAGCATCTAATTAATCTTGAACCATAATGAATTTGAAATTCCTAAGCATTCCATTTTCAATTCCTTATCCTTTAAACTCTCTTGAACATACAAGGGTCTTAGACTTAACAAAACTTAATTCTTCCCATTTGCTCTATCTTGGCCGAATAAAATATAAAGAAAGCTTATACATCCACTTCACAAATATGCTTCGATACTTCAAACACTTTTCAAATACCCCTTATAAGACGTGTTGCTAGACTTAATTCTGGAAAATTTTCCCGATTCAACTTTTCACTTTAACCATTATTAAAACAGTCTCTAACATTTAGAAATAATCAAGAAGTCCTCATCAACTTTCAACTTCATAATTAATTTAGTCTAACTTTGCAATACTTTCACATAACTTTTTATCCTCTTCACAGAGGCAACAATAGTACCTTTAGCTATATTTTCAACTTTTAGGATTCAAACAGCATCTATCGTCAATATTTAAATCATCTCCTTTTGTTCAATAATCATGAAAGGCCTAACACTACACCCTCAAAACAGAAGCCATAATTCGAAATCATCATCTATCTTAGTACCAACAATTTGCACAGCATATCCATATGCATATATATGTACTCACTTAAATATGTCTCACAAGGGAGTAACAGTAACGCCATACATATCACAGAAATTTCACACTCCCAAAGCATTCCATGAAACTCAAATAGCAGTAAGCAATCACATTATCAACTGCCGCTAAGCTTCAATCTACAACAAATCGTTGACTTTCCCATTGTTTTGCTTCAGTTTTAATCATCTCTCCCCCTCAAATCAATGCCCAATCGAAGACACGGAGGTTAGAGGAAGAATCAGGAGGCTCACCTTGGTTCAATGACTAACTCGTATGTGGCTTAACTGCTCCCCGATCACCTTTTCTTCCTCCCTGATCTCCGGTTCCTCTTGCTCTTTCAATCTCTCTCGAGCTCTCTCACTCTGTTTCTCCCACTCTTATTCGGTCTCCCTCAACATACTCCCACCAGGCTTCTTGGACATGAATCGGGTCCAATAAAGAGAAGAGAATCGTGTTGCACAAGCTAAGGGCAGAAGGGAGAGATGGCACAAAGGTAGGAAGGGAATAGGGCAGGTGTCGAAGAGGAAGAATCTGATGGGTGAGGTTGCCAGATGATAATGAGGAAGAAGAGGAAACGTACAGGTGAGGGTAAAAGTGCAAGCACTATTTTGCCCATATATGAGGGGTGAGGTAGCCAGATGACAACGAGGAAGAAGAAGAAATGCACAGATGAGGGTAAAAGTGCAAGCACTGTTTTGCCCTTCGCTTGTAATTTTTATCTTGGCTCTGTCTGATGACAATGAGGAAGAAGAGAAAATGCACAGATGAGGGTAAAAGTGCAAGCACTGTTTTGCCCTTCATTTGTAATTTTTATCTTGGCTCTGTCATTTCCTAAATTTTTACTTTTATCTTAGATAATTTCTAAAAATTAATTTCTAGCACCTTATAAGAGCTTTCTTTCTTTTTTACTTCCTTAGCCCGTAAAATAACTTTCCTAAAATTGTCAAACTAAAAAATTAATCTCTAAATGTTTTTCTTAAATTTTTCAAGAAATAAGACTTTCATTTTGGAAATTAGCTTTTAAATTATCTCCACCTTTTTTGGAAAATAAAACCTTCCACGAAATCCTTTATTTTCTAAAAAGGTTAATATAACCTTTAGTGCCTCAAGTTTTTTATTTTATTTTGATTTTAGTTTATTAAGTTTCAAATTATAGGTTTCGGTTTTTCAGGGATAAAATGATCCAAGTTTTTATTGAATTATAAAAATTAATATTTTAAATGAAAAGAAACTTGAGGGACTAAAACCAAGATAATGGTAAACTTAAAGGATCAAAATTTGTATTAACTATTTCTATAATAATTATCTATAATTTTTTTATTATTATACGGCCTTTATATATTTTTAATAATAACTCCTTTCTTGAATTTTTTTGCATTTCTTGCTCAAAAATAGACTTTTATGAAATAATTATTTTTCTAAGGTCTTAACTAATTCTTTAAGCCTCCTAAGCATCTTAATAATTCCTAACTTTGAAATTTGGGATATTACATTATATTATATTATTTATAAGTGTTTTATAAATTTGATGGAAATCATTTATAACTAGTAAAAGACATAATTATTCAAAAAATAACTATTATAATAAAATCTAATAAATTATTCTTCATAAAAAAATTAGATGATTTGAAAAAATTATAATAAACAACATTATCCTACTTATATGCGTACCTATATAATTTTGTTTTCTTAAATACCTTTGTATATACCACTTGTTTTTGCGTTGAAGACTGAAATCAATATATATAATGAGTTCTTAACTATATCATGATTAAATTTTATTGTTTAATGATTGAAATTCAAAATTCATTTCAACATTAGTTTGATCTATAATCATAAATTAAACACCAAGCTAGTGGAGGTGGAATCTTAAGTTCAGAATGAACATTTGCAAGAAATGATCAAACTGACATCATTGATAGCGAATGTGGGTGAGAGGGTGATAGTGGTAGCAATCGAGAAGGTGAGGAGAGAAGGAAAGGGTTTCCAAGTTATGAGAGGATCGCAATAAGTAAAGGAAGAAGATATGAAGGCTGGCTCTCATATGAGGACAAGCTATTAAGCTTGGGCAAATCTAGATTTCTGCAAGTGAATTAGTCTGCTGATAACACAATGAATGAATGGAGAGATTACTTTGCCAAGATGTGTGATGAGAAACAAACTGAGAATGATGAGGGGAAGAGAATGAGAGAGGAACTGGATAAGGGTGAGATTGGGTCATAAAGGGAAAAAGGGAAACTACCATCTCTTCTAGTGTTGGTGAGGAGTGCGCAACATGGTGCAAACCATACATGAACTCCTTGATTGTGACGCTAATGGGCAAATCATTTAGGACAAGTTTCATACAAGGGACAATGGAATGTATGTGGGGACTAAAAAATCCAATCAGTGTTATGCCTTTGAATAATGGGTACTTTATAGTCTCATTTTTGACCCCTGAGTATGGAGATTACACGCTGCAAGAGGGACCATCAATGATAGCAGACCACTACTTGCTAGTTCAATGATGGCATCTTAATTTCAATCCATAGAAAGTAGATACTCAAAAGCGGATAGCAGCTTGGATATGAATTCCTGACCTTCCAATAGAACTTTACAATGTTGAATCTTTAAGAAGGCTAGGAAATCTGATAGAAAATACTTTAAAGATTGATAAAACCACCACTTTCTCAGAAAAGGGTGGCTTCACAAGAATTTATGCTAAAACCGATTTGCAGTAGCCTTTGTTTCTAGCTTTTGATCATCTTAGAGAGGACCAAAAAATAGAGTATAAAGGCCTACATCTCATATGTTTCCATTGTGGGACATATGGTCATCACATGGAAAAATGCCCATCAAAGAGTCAAGCTTCACAGCAGCCAAAAAAGTAGTAGTATGAGTACTCTACCGAAAACTAACTCTGACGTAGTTATGACAGTGGAGGAATCCTTACAGCCCAAACAACATAGTAGCAAAGTTGATAGAGGGATTTACAGACCACATATGATTGTAAAGAGGGATTTTAGCAAGTGAATAATCAGGAAGGATACGAAAGGAGGAAAAATAGATATTATAGAGAAGAAATTGGTTGATATTAATAGTGAATCCCAAAGAACAACAGTGCCACGTGTCACAAAGGATAAAGATGGAAGATATATTATGAGGAGTAAAGAAGGGGAGTCAATAAAAAATGGGTCCAGGATTTTTGGAGATGAAATCAATAGTAATAATAAGGAGAAAGAATGAGTCTCAGTCAGTCAAAGGAAGATAATAACATGGAAGTGAAGGTCTCATGGGAAAGACAATATTCAAAAGTTAAATATCAAGTCAAAGATAAAGAGGTGACTACTAACACTGCACAACATACCCAGCTCTTTAGGAACCTATTTGTTGTGTTACATAATGGGCTTGGGAAGGAACTTGGGCCTGTGGAAATATTGCCTACGGATGAGGTCAGACTAGTCTCGCACGAGTTGGGCTAAGTACCTTAAGAAATCAGAAGCATTGGGCTAGTAATGGAGTTGATGCCATGAATTAAGAGGCTATACCAAATAGCACGAGCCCAGAAACCTAGATAGAGGAGATGATTGTTACTATGATTTCTTCTACCATTGATGTTGTTACAGAGAGCTCTAAAGCTCAATCTTCTTCTACTAGTTCTCAATGAATTTTCTCTTTTGGAATAGTAAGGGTACCGGGACCAAGACTTTTTCAAGCCTTATATGAGAACTTCTAAGGAAACATAATATTGACTTTCTTAATATTCTAAAAACTGGAGCTAAGGGTGACAGAGCTAAAAGAATTTCACAGATGTTAGGTTTCAATAACTTTCAAGTAGTGAATGCTTAAGGTTTTAGTGGCAGTATTTGGGTACTTTGGAGAAATGGGATTAATAAATCCTTTATTACTGCTATATATCAAGCTCGAATCCTATAAAGAGAAGTTTGGCATGGAATGCCCTTAGACAAATTAGTAAAACAATCATAAGAGCCTGGTGTATTGGTGGCAACATTAATAAGACCTTATCTCTTCATGATCACTATTCTGCTACTCATACATGTACTAGCATTGACCATGAATTTTGCTAGTGGTTTGATAATCTAGCTCTCATTGACATGGGTTGTAGTGGCCCCTATTTTACTTGGAAGAGAGAAGGATGTGATAACCGGCTAGATTCTATCCTTACAAACTCAAATTTTCTTCATAGTCACCTGAATGCTGCAGTACTTTATCTCCTTTTCTTTAAGTCTGATCATAGGCTTGTACTGCTATGATGTGGTGATAGGGTAATCAAAAATAGTAGAACTAATCACATCTTCAGGTTGGTGGCATCTTGGGTTCTTTATAAGAATTTTGGGTCTTTTGTGAAAAATACTTGGTTGGATGGTAAAGGTTGCCTAAAGAATACAACCCACTTTCAATCTGATGTTATGGTTTGGAGTCATGAGGTGTTTAGGCATTTAGGACACAAGAGGAGACATTTAATTAATAAACTAGAAAGACTCAATTGTATCTCTCACACTTGTGTCAACAAAGCTTCCGTGAATCTATTCATTTAACAGGTATGGAGGGAGCTTCAGGAGGTACTTCTTCAAGAGGAACTTCTATGGGCCTAAAAAGGTAAGTGCAATTGGTACATGTTTGGGAACAAAAATTCAAAGTATTTTTATGCTAAAGTTAATCTAGAATGAGGACGATCAATGGACTTGTGACAAAGAAAAAGAGGTTAAAGGTATTGCTTTATCTTTCTATCAAAATATTTTTTGAGAATTCCCATGTTTTCCATGGAATTCTAGTTGCTTTTCCTATTCTTTGATAGACTCAGGCTAAATGAATATTTTGAGGAAGAAAATTACAAGAGGGGAAATTAAACAAGCTTTTTTCAACATGGCAGCTCTCAAGTTGCCAGGCCCAGATAGATTGAATGCTCTCTTTTTTCAGAGTCAATAAGAGAGGGTGGGTTCTTCTATTGTTAAATTTGTCTAAGATGCCTTTGAAGACCCCTCTCTTATTAAAGCGATAAACTTCTTTAGTTCTTATTCTAAAAAAGGACCAGCCAGAGACTATTAAGGATTTTTGGCCCATAAATTTGTGCATTGTTATCTACAAATCAATCATTAAGGTGGTGGCTAATCGAATTAAAGGCATTCTTCTTACTATCAGATCCCCAAACCATGGCGGATTTATGCCAGGTAGATTGGGTTCTGACAATATAATTATGGGAAAATTTCACTGTAGGACCGCAGAAGACAAATAATCTCAAAGAGCCCCCAAAACATTCTGAAATCTCACTGCAGGACCAAGGGGCCAATCTAATATTAATTCCACAAGCGAAATGACGCCACTGCCCCTCATTTTACTTCCGCTGAAATTTGAAAATAAGGCAAAAAAGCAACGGTCAAAAGTCCTCCCGCTCTCTCTCTATATGCGAACGTAACCCGTGTGCGAAAAGTGTTCCCTCTCCGGCTCTGTGAACGTGCAACCACTCTGGGAAAACTGCTGCGTCTCTCGGTCTGCGAACGTGCTACCACTCTATGAAAAATCTGTCCTCTCCCGACTGCGAACGTGCTACCTCTGTGGGAAGATTCCTGCCTCTCGCAATCTGCGAAAAGTGTTTGACGTGGCCCCCAAAAATTCCATCAGCTTCAATCTGCGGGTTCGTGGTAATCACTAGAAGCGGAAGGAGAATAAGAAGAGGCC